AGTCCACCTTATAAAAGGCTGATGCCTCATCTGCTTGAGCTTCAGGCCATTTCTTGGCGTCAAGATCCATTATTGATCCATTTTCTAAGTTGGTAATAACAACCTGAGAGCATACAAAAATTAGTCAAACATCAAACCAAAATTATAATTAGAGAAATCTAATAATCAAAGATGTGCACCTTAAGCGGCTGCAAAACAACCATTGCCCGTTCAGCTGACCTGTTTAGTTCTTCTCTAATGTGATATTCAAGACGATCAAACCGAATCAAACTACAGTCACTGTGGTGAAAACACCAGATAGTTATGGTAACAGCAGATGACAAATGTAGCATGAAATGCTACTGATTTCTTTGACATGCCCATATAACAAGCATACAAACTTCAAACCTTCTAGTGATTCCAATTCCTCGAACAAAAGCATTAATTGCAGTTGACGTGACACCCCTGCGCCTAAGACCAGCTAGCGTCAACAGTCGAGGATCATCCCAACCATCAACCCATTTTTCTGTCACTAGTCGATTTAACTGAGAAAGCAAAACATATATATGATCAGTAACGTATGAAAATATCTAACGTCTGAGTTATTCAAAGATGAACCTACAAGCATGCCACACCCACCTTACGCTTAGACAACACATTATTTGAAACATTGAGTCGAGAATATTCCCACACATATGGTTGATAAAGCTCCAGTGCGTGCAATAACCAATAGTATGAAGCACGACGTGTTTCAAATTCCAAGGTACACAACTGAGAAAAGAATAGAATATAAGATAAAAGATATCACATTTTGACCATCAAATACATAAATGATTGACAAACATCATTATGCAAGCAGTTTGATAATCAGAATTAAAATTCAACAGTACGGAAATGCAGCACCAACTGAATGGTGAGACACTAATGCTAACTTAAATGAATATAGATTTCGTCCAATGTAAATGGAACTTCAAATCTCCAGATACAGGAGGAGGTGGGGGAGAGTATCAAGAATGCGAGATAAACAGCTTTCAGAGCTTTTACGTGGAAGGTTAGAATTCTAAGATCAAATTTTAATGTGATGGTTTACACCGTTGGCTTCATCTATCAATTCTCATTTATAATCTTATGGCCTAGTGCCATGTTAAACATGCATTAGAAGAATGGAATAGATTTTTGGGTACTTTACAAGTGAGGTTCGCTTCAAGTACGACTTGTTTAATATTAGTCACTAGAGGAGGTGCACATGCATTCACCAGTTCTTTGGCAGACTGCTTTTTTGGCTATTCGTTTGTGCATTTGGCTAGAGAGGAACAACAAAAGCCTTGGTAATGTATTCGCATGTTTAGCTTGAGAGAAACAAAAAGCCTTTGTAGACAACTTAGCCTCGACGTGGTATTCAATGCACTGTATTGTCTCATCTTGACCTTCTCTTTACTATTTTTATAATTTCTCTCCATCAGTTCTTCTGTTCTAGCCACGCTCCTATCCTTTTTTATAATCTTTACCTTTGTCTTATCCAATGGAATCTTTCTTTTGATCATTTCTTAACGAGAAAATACATATATATATATTAAAAAAAAATCAAGTGTTTATTTTAGTAATTTGTCCATTTTAAAAATAGTTTTTAAGCAAATATAACTAACTCAATAAACAATCTATAATTCTTTGTGAGTGGAATCGTTCATATCTTAACAAGGAAAAATAAGTGTTTGTTTTAGAAAATTTTCAATTATTAAAAGAAATTAAACAAATACGAATCATTTAGAAAAAAGTTATGAAATATTAGAACCGAACGACAAAGTGGTTTATTATGAAACACTTTTTGTTAAATTACTTATAATAAAAAATACTCTAGATATAACACAAACAGCTCCCTTAAGGACTTTAGCATCTAGTATTTTGTCATGTAAGCCTCGAGGAAACATCCTTCCACCTCACCCCAGGCCTCCTACCATTTAAATAGGGTAAGATACACTTTTGGTCCCTAAATTTTAAAAAATGACAGTTTGATCTTCGACCTTTAGAAAGTAACCCTAAAAGGTCCCTAGAGTTAAACTTCCGTTGGTGTCACTAATGGAATGCTGACTCGACATTAGTGAGTTGGCAATTTTAGATGATTTATCAATATTTATTAATTTTATATTTTTTTTAACTTGAGAGACTATTTTTTCTCTTTCTATCTTCTATTTATCTCTCTTCTCCACTATTGATAAAGTGGAAAATGACCAAGTTGAGATGGTTGGTCACAAGAGGTGCCTATTATGACGTCTCTTTCGAACTCTTTGAATGTGTCCATCAATACTCATAATAGAATCTAGGCATTGCAAAATTGCTAAAAATTGACTGGCTGATGGCCTTGCAATTGTCGTAGGGGTGTAAGAAGCTGGGAATCTTGTTGTATCTAGAAGAGAGAGAGCAATTTATCATTGCAATCGATCAATTTTTGGGAGTAGTAGTAATAAATGGAGAAAACAAAGCAAGATTGGACCCAGTGAATGAACAGGGGATGCCGAAATTGTGAGACACATCAAAGACACATGGCATGAAGGGGTTTCCGCCGAGACAGGACACCTATCGATTCTCTCCAGAGCGGTTTTGGAGCATCTGCGCAAGCGCCAGCTTGCCGGAGAGCTCGAGTTGCGGCAAATAGACAACTAAATACTTCCGCCATGGGTCGTCCTCTATATAGTCGTCGTCCCAAAACTAGTCGTCGTCCCAAAACTCAAAGTCAATGAAACTAGCATCGACCAGGGAGGGGTGGTGATGGTGATATGAAGGCCATTCAAAGCGACCTTTTTTCCGAGGCGAAGCGAAGGATTAATTTGGCCTTCGGGAAGAAGGCGACGAGGCAGGACGATTGGGACTGTGCCCACCTTTTTTTTATTTCTTTGCGGTTTGGAAATGGCGATTTGGTGAGGATGAGGAGCGATGGAAGACACTTCTAGTGCTTTTAATTCCAATCTTGGGTACTTGGTTTGTATTCTCAGTTGCCAAATTTGAGAACGCATTGCGAAATACATTCCRAAATAACCAAAAGCACAGGAAGAGTGSTGGAGAAGGAGGGAAGGGAGAGAAATAGAAATGGGAAACATTAAAAAGAAATGCCACCTAAATTAAAAATATTTATAAAGATATTAAAAATTGACAAGTCATCAAAACATTGTCAACCGACTAATGTCGGTCAGCATTCCATTAGTGACACTAACGAAAGTTTGACTCCAGGGACCTATTAGAACTATTTTCTAAAAGTTAGGGACTAAACTGTCGCTTTTGAAACTTAGGGACCAAATGGAAACTTATGCTCAAACTCAAGGACTAAAAGTGTATTTTACCCTTAAAACAATTCAACACACTCGTTAAAAGGCCCTCCATTAATAACAAGGGCAACTACCAGACCACATTCTCCAAAGTATACAATAATGTAATTATTCCTATGTGATTTTAAAATGTGCATTATCCTTCTAGAAAACATACATTATACTGGATACGTTACAAGGCAATAGCCTCTATTTGCTTCTTTCATACAGCTCGACAACTCATAGTCACCAAAAAAA